TTCAGTTTTCAGCACGACCTGGCACCTGCTCATAGTGCCAAAACCACTGGTAAATGTTTTACTGACCATGGTATCACTGCTCAATTGGTCTGCCAACTCTCCTGACCTGAACCCCATAGAGAATCTGTGGGATATTGTGAAGAGAAAGTTAAGAGACGCAAGACCCAACACTCTGGATGAGCTAAAGGCTGCTATCGAAGCATCCTGGGCCTCCATAACACCTCAAGAGTGCTAGAGGCTGATTGCCTCAATGCCACGCCACATTGAAGCAGTCATTTCTGCAAAAGGATTCCCAACCAAGTATTTAGTGCATAACTGTACATAATTATTTGAAGGTTGACTTTTTTTTGTCTGAAGAACACTTTTCTTTTATTGGTCGCATGAAATATGCTAATTTTGTGAGATAGGAATTTTGGATTTTTAATGAGCTGTATGCCAAAATCATCCATATTTAGACAATAAAAGACCTGAAATATTTTAGTTAGTGTGCAATGAGTCTAAAATATATGAATGTTCAAGTTTTATCATTAAATTATGAAAAATAATCAACTTTATCACAATATGCTAATATTTTGAGAAGGACCTGTATTCACAGCGTCAAAAAAAATTTTCTGGCATGTAGTATAATTTTCCTTGAAAGTTGTAATGAATTTCCTTGCTTTTGGGACTCATTTCGAGGGGATTGAGGTATAATTCATTCTCTTTTAAAAGAAGGTCATAGCAGCCTGGATTCTCTGGTCCAATTTGCCGACACACTTGGAGAAGAATGTTTTATTCTCAGAATAATTTCAATAGAGAATCTCCATATAACTGGTGAAAACACACACACCTTAAGTCTTTCCCACTTTCTGGTGCTACAGAGACCATCCTTATATTCCCTGCTACCGTGGGTGTCTATCAGTTATTATCAAATTATTTTGTAGAATACAAGTGGGAAGCAATGTCTAGATATACTTACATATGTAAAAATTTAAATGTCAAATGTAGAAATAATAATAAGGCAACCTCAGTGATGATAAATGCTGGAGGATATAATCAATTAAATGAAACCATTAAGGTGTATATAGTTACTTGAAAACTTAAAATAGTATAACTGAATACATAATGAGATCATCATTTTCTACATGGCAAAAATTTAATTAATATGGGATCAAAAAGCTTAGGTGTTGCCATATGTGTATATATTTGTGTATAAATGTTATATATTTTTTAAGATAGGGGAGGAAACTATCCCCATCCTCGACGTCATCTGGTGGTTTCCCAACCAACAGGCACAACTTGCATTTTGGTACCCAAAATGATCTGTAAATCAAACATGCATAAATGCTTCACCATGATTATAATATTCAAGATTAGAAATATTAGCTATAAATAATAGCTATAAATGATACATTTTGAAAAATAACTGACTGCTTAAAACTTGGTTGACTGGATATAAGGTTCAATAAAAGAATAAAAGTCAGTCCTGAGTAAGTCTGAAGTATGGTCTCTATATAGCAACTTTTCTAAGTCCAAAGTGAGAGGAGTCCCAGTGGCAGTGACCTTAATTGAGATCCTTCCCATTTAAAAGTTCCTTGACTCCACTGCTCCTGTTGGAGGTGCATGTACGTATTAATAAAAAAAAAAAAAAGAAATCATATTTCTCCTATCCAAGTTCACTTCATTGGCTTCCTGTTAAATCCAGAATATGATTTATAATCCCCCTTCTCATATATAAAGCCTTAAATGACCAAGCTCATTCTTATATCAGAGATCAGATTGTTCCTTATGTTCCTAACAGAGCACTTAGGTCTTCAACTGCAGATTTACTAGTGGTTCCTAGAGTTGTTTAAAGAATAATGGGTGGAAAATATTTTAGTTATCAGGATCCTCTCCCATGGAACCAAGTACCAGTTTTAGTCTGTGAGGCAGACACCCTGTCTAACTTTAAGGAAAGCCTTAGAACTTTCCCTTTTGATAAAGCTTATAGTTAGAGTGGCTCAGGTTAAGTAAGATTTATTTGCCTTTTTAAAAAAAAAAAAAAAATGCCTTCTCCCTTGCACCACTACTGGCATGCCTTAAGGACATTAAAGCCTGGTTGGCAGTGGAACTTTTTATTATCTCAACGACGCAAAAACTGAAGTGATAATGTTTGGTCCCCATAACGTTGTGAAGGTGGACCCCCCCCAATCCCCCGTTGACTTGAGCCTTTTAACTTTGAAAAAAATCCTGCTGTCTCAAACTTGGGTTTTAAGACCGATTTTAAATTGTATTGGCAAGTCAGCTCTGTAGTAAAGCTAATTTTTTATCCTATCAAACAGTTGGACAAGGTCAACCCTTTTCTTGCACAGCAGCATTTATAAACAATAATGCATGCCTTTGATACATCTCTGACTACTGTAGCACACTTTATTTTGTGGTGAGCTAGTCCTCCCTCGTCTCCAGTTGTTGCAAAATGCAGCTGCATGCATTTTAGTTGGAATATGTAAGAGGAAGCACATTGGCTTCGTTGGCTGTCTGTGCATTTTAGAGTTCATTTTAGGAATGTTTTATTTGTTTTTAAGTCTTTAAATGGCTTGGCCCCTCCCTACCTCTCTGAGCTTCTCCCCCCCACCGAGGTCCAAACGGAAGCTTAGAGGAGACAGAGCTTTTTAAGTTCCTGATCCTAAATTTGGGAATGAGCTCCCCCTCCTAATTAGACAATCATCTTAAGGGTCTATTTTTAAAACTCATCTTAAATCTTATTTTATTCTTTGGTTTTTTTAAAACAATATGAGACTCAGTTTATGCGCTTGTGGTTTGATTTATTTTCTTTTTTTATACAGATTTATTTGTTTTATGTATTTACGTATTTTATGATATTTGTTTTATTCCTTTAAATTTCTGTGTTGTTTTTTCACAATTTTAACTCTACCTGATACAGACCTCACTTTGTGGCAGCTGTGTTTTTTTAAAAGGGTTTATAAAATAAATAAAAATATATAATAATAAGTTTATTATAAAACTCGGTCCTCAAGGCCCCCTGTCCTGCAGGTTTTAGAGGTTTCCTTGCTCCAGCACAGCTGATTTTAATTGAAAGCTGATTAACAGGCTTTTGATCTACTGCAATCATTATAACCAGCTGTGCTGAAGCAGAGACAGGGGGCCTTGAGGATCGAGTTTGGGGATGCCTGTGTTAAATAAACCACATTCAATAGTTTTTACTTTTTACCCAATTGGATTTAATTTTAATTTTAAGTAGATTATCACAATTTACTCTTTCAGGATTATTTTCTAATTTATTTATAGACTCTCCTTCCTGATCTGCACCCTGGGTGGTCAGGGTTTTGTAGGACTAATAAATTCGGCCAGATTCCCTGAAAGAACTGCACCATCCAAAGTCGGATGGATACCGTCTTTTCGAATGAGACCAGGTTTTCCTAAAAGACTGCCAATTAACAACTAGCGGTTGAATGACGACATGTGGCTAAACATGTCATCACTGGTAAGATGAGGAAGGGGACATGAGAAAATTACTAAGTCCGACATTCTTCTGGCAAACGAACATACAGAAGCAACACTTATTTTAGTGACCTCCGATCGGTATAACAGGGTGTCATAACCGCCAGCGTGAATAACAATCTTACTGTATTTAACATTTACTTAGCCACTAGTTTCAAGTAGCATTTGATGTTGCCCATTCTTGCCCCCAGCAAACATTTGCCTGTAATCCCTGGTGTTTCTAATTCCACCTTTCTGACTATGGAGCTGCTAATTACCAGAGTGGGCGGGGAAAATCGGTTAGAAACATGGAAGGCTTGGTGGTGACCACTTCCCAGAGATTTAGAACAACGCTTTCTGTATACTGTCACCCAATCACCTGGCTGCTAAGGCACTTTTGGAGGACCACTACA